CGGAAACTCGCCGAGGTCGGCCAGTATCTTCCCTACTAACGCTGGCGAGGGGCACCCTTACTACTTCATCCGTCTATCGGGCACAGGTACGATGAGTTCTTGGGAAACTCTATTCTATATTGATAGGATTGATATAGGTCTTAATAGTGCGGGTCCGAAATATCTAGGCCCCTTGATTGTGAATAATTATCAATCCGGTCCGGTAACTTGCACTCCCGACTGCGGAGAGAAGGATATTCTGTAGCTACACATCTTTCTTTGCATACCGAACTTGAGCTGAAAAGTACAAATTTCATTGTTCGAAGAAGAGTGGTGGTCCGTGACGAGCCTTCGTAGTTTGAACAGGGTTTCTCGTGTGGCGCATTGCAGATCGTATTTTTAGAAGTTCTGCGCTATACAATAGGATTACCAGGGAAGTCTCCCCGGATATAACTGTGTCAGGTGTCAGTGTGAGCGTGGATGTGTTTCAAGCGGACTTGATGGAGGAGGGAGTGAGCTGAGCGTATGTGAGGAGCCAAAGATGAGAGAACGCCTGCTGGTGATTCATTGGGGAAAACGGAGGATTTGAAGGCGGTATTTGCGTACCGATTCAGAGTGTAAGGTTTTCTACGCCCTGCAGGTGACCGCGAAATTGCGGTCTTGAAAGCTTGACGCGTCGCATCGGGTATCAATGTATAGATGAGCACATCGTAACCGCATAATTGAAACTATGATGTCATGCATGTCGTGCGGTGGCGCTGGGTTGCAAATTTTGGGAACGCCATAACAATAACCAGGCACCATGTGTCACGTTGAATTACGCGGCCTGGGCGCCTTGTGGGCGCCACTGAATCTTGTCATACTCAACCTAGACGTTCATGACATATTGAGTTCGGGCAGGGTTTATGGGGCATGCAGGATGCCAATCTCGCACGCTATCTCTAGTGTCGAAGAAGTGATAATTAACCTTTTTTTTTTTTTTTTTACCAGTGATAACCAACCGAAACTGGATGTCACATCTCAGAAATGCTATAGGAACGAGACGATCTCGGCGCCTCAGCGGGGCTACGATATCGCCAGACGGTAATGCACGGTTGGGTCCGCATATTCTTCGTCCCGTCATGGGTGGGTGGGCGGCTGATGCATGTGCCTTGGTGACTATGCTTGCATGGACGATTTCCCGCTTGGCATGTTCAATGGAGCTGGCACATATAGACGAAGGAAGGACCGCCGCCGAAGATGGTGACGACGACAAATCAGAATCCGATTAGAATGGAAAGTGGCAGAGACTTAACTGTGGAGAGAGCTATCCATCAGGAAAACGGTAAAATGGTAAATGTGCCAAAATATGTACAGTTAGCCTAATGAAGCTCATATGAGATCAAGCTTGCAAAACTTGGCTCAGTCAGGATCATCCGAATCATCACTGTGCCTTTTTAACCCTCTTGAATCCTAAATTCTCATAATTAGATAGGGACTTTTGTTACGACGGTTTATTTAAACAAGAATGCGGTACAGGTGACAATCAGTGAACTCGTTAACAAAGAATGTGTTACCAAGGCCTAAAACGTTGCTACTTGTCCACTCTGCTGGGACTGCACCTCCAAATTTCGGGAACAGGTGCACACTACGGCATATGTTTGCTAGGGGAATGATGCTGCAAACGCGCCCACCGCTTCGATCCTTCGAGCACGAAATTTTGTGCAGTTTGTGATGACGCTCGGGGTCTTTGAATGGTGTATATCACTCCACATATGCCAAGTATTTCGGTACATGCGTTCGCGGGTTGTTGAATAGGATGGAGTGCCATTTCTCTGGAAGGGAGAAGATTAATCGAATACGGGCCTGTCATGATTCATTCACGATCACTTTTGTAATGGGTGTGGAGAAAACAATACAGCCATACCACAGTTCTGCAATGTAAGTAGATGATGACGTGACGAAACACATGAACTTTTAAACTCCGCTAGAAGACATGTCACGCTAGTTTGACAGAATCCACTGTACATACCGCGACATGCTTGGCTACTCATACTCTTTTATGACAAGCCCAGCTTGAAGATGATCATTTACTCCGTGTGGCTCGCTTCTTTCTACTGCGTGGACTCTTAAGAGCCTCCCGCCTGAACAATTTAAATTGGATACGCACGAAACTAGGTACTGTGGACTTCTGACGTGTCAATGATTACTTACCATGTCAAGTGCCCAGCCTGTCTGGCAATCCTTGAGTCTTGTACACGGTCCTCGTGGCGAGTACTTCTGTGATCCCTATTGCTTCTGGATCCGACCGATGGCTACGCTTATCGCCACCCGTAGCTGTTGATTTCTAGGACCTCATGCAGCAGTAGGAGTTCTTCAAACTTGGGAATTACTTTATGACCGACAACGCAATGCTTGAGCATGCATACAAGATGTCGGGTATGTCTAAGCTGGTTCTGTTTCAACGAGAGCTGATATAATTTCGTTAGTTCTCGACGTGTCTTTCCAATGTGCATTGCCTTGACAAGAAGACTACCCTGTGGATGAGTGAAGGCGCCTTTAACCTTGACAGCACTTGGCCCCACCGACAGGAACGTGCCAAAAAAAATTAATTCCCTTGCGCCCCAAGTTCTTTTTTTCATGATTTTCGTGCAATTTTTCTGACCCATATCCTCCAACAGGGTAACCTTATTGAGATCACAAAACTGTATCATCACCAGGTCATGACCTCTACGACTCACCGACAACATACCACTGCCTTGTGCGTGACCTCATTCAATTTTCTTCGAAGCACCCTGATCTAAGCTAAATTTCAGCAACGTGCAAGGGGCCAACTCGGTGTAGGTAATTGCTAACTATGCAATGATCTCGATGGTATAGATTACTGTACCGCTTATCGACCAAACTCTTCAATGAGTATATGCTACGCTTTCTACCTGACTCATTTCCACCAAGATACCTATGTACATCTACACTCACAGTTAATTGTTTTATTTCTGTGATCTACTCGGTATCTTTATGTATAGCATATGTAGTTACTCCGAAATATAATATCAACTTCGCAATATACCTTCATATCGCCAATAGGTGTGCACTAATATTGGCATCTGCTACTAGAAGTGCAAGTTCACTGAGCCAAATTACTGATCATTTTACCAATATTATGACAGATTAACCTATGCATTCCACCGCAACTTTTAATTGGGCTCAATTAGTTATTTCATGCAAAATGGTGTCATTCCGCCAAAATATGCATAAACGATATCAAAACTAATCTTTTATTTTAAACAATAGATCTTTTATGCTAAATGGTGGAATGACCGTTTTCCTGATGTCTATGCTACAGCGGCGACACACTGAGTAGGAGACTCATAGGAAACATCTACCGAACCGCAAGAGTACTCTTACGATTATTACACACAGTAGGTCGAAACGGTTCGGGATACTCCAGCGACTCTATGATCGTGCGCGGAGACACCATCCAGGACTTCCTGAAGGATGCTCGAGTTGCCAAACACCCCGATCTGCCTCAACTCCATAATATGATTCATATACTGGTCGCGCGGATCACCTGATCCCCCAATGATCATAGCCTGGCGATGCCATAAAATTGTCAATGGTCCGTTACGTCGAGGCGTCTGTGCTAGTTATACGCTTGAAAATCTGCAACCATGTTCGGTGGGAGCAGTCTGTCAACAGTTGGAAGGATGTCAGCAGGAATGTTATCGCGCCAGATTCATAACGTTGCTGCTCCTGAGAGAGCTTAGAATTCTCATTCTTGCTCACATTCGTTATTGCAGTTTTCAATAAAGTTGGCCAAACCGGCATTTCCGGCGAAAACCGAAATTTTGTGCATGCGCCGACCACCAATCTTCCGAGCTAATTAGCTCGCTCAATTCTTGTCCCATCACCTAAATAAAATTTGTAGTCGCTTTAGATTTAAAAATTCTATCGCTGTATGTAAGAAAATTTGCGAATTTTCTGCTGCAAAAAATTAGAACTGGTATGGATCACGGTTCGGCTCTACAGCAGTTAATGATAAATTCAGCTCAAAACTTCGCAGGAAACTCACAAACACTTCCTCTGTAGTGAGATTTCGGGGCCTGCCCCGGACAGAGTGCTCCTGCACTGGTTTTACAACTTCTCCAGTGTTCCTCCAGTGTTCTAGAATTCGCCGTTGCTGCCGCTCACTTACAGCAGTAAAGGCACGAATTTCAGCTGGATTAAATACACTGGACATTCGAAGAACTGTCTCCCGCAGTGGTGGGGAGATCTCAACACCTTTGGGCATGGCTGGTTGTGGTAAGAAGGCTAGATCAGTGGTCGGCGCGTGCACAAAATTTCGGTTTTCGCAGTTTGGCCAACTTTATTGAAAACTGCAATAAAGATTTCAAGTTGTGCCTTTCGAAGTCGTTGAGGCGTTGTCGATTACATGTGGTTTTTGGAGAGCTCATCAATGCCCTCAGGACAGAAGTGAGGGCGGAGGAAAAGCGAAAAGGCTGGTAGTCAAATGTACAGTCAAAAATACAAAAAAATACAACACTGGGCCTGGCTGGGAATTGAACCCAGGACCTCCTCGAAACAGCTAATAAAGCCCTAACAAGGAATCATACTACTAGACCACCAGGCCATATTTCTCGCAGTTAGATTGAACGTGGAGTGTGGCACATGATTCATTTCATGGAAGATGGTATTCGCAATGACAAATTATAATGGGGCCTGAAGGACTGACCCATGATCTCCTGGAAAAAATTTAAAGAATTGTGAATAAATCACTTACAGGACTCCTTATTGTTCTTTGAAGCTAGCAGAGCTACACATATGCATCAAAATCTACAAGTGGCCCTACGCCACATCTCCAGAAATGGCTCTCTCGCACCTAGCAAGAAGGTGTTGCGGTCCATCTATATCCTTTTTTGGCTTGTATATCTTTCCTGATTTCAATTCCCAGCCAGCCCCTTAGCCGTCATCATTTTACTACCACTCGACAGCTCATTAGCCTGCGCCACAGACTCGAGACTACCATACTGCAGAGCAAATATGGCCTGGTGGTCTAGTAGTATGATTCCTTGTTAGGGCTTGATTAGCTGTTTCGAGGAGGTCCTGGGTTCAATTCCCAGCCAGGCCCATATGTTTTAAGTCGTACTTTTTTGAATGGGATGTACTCTTCTGCACATCAAAACTATCACTGTGCGCCCCAGTACCCAACACTCAGCGCTTGGCACCCGTGTAGTGTCACTGTAGTCTGTCACTATCTCAGTCGAAGACTCAGACAAGACGATGGCGGAGAACGACAAGATATATTGAGCATCAAGTATGCGGTTGTAAGATCGGCTACATATGGCTGCCAAGATTGCCGACTCTCAGCTAGTCCACGGCCACGTCCATGCTTGCAAGAGCGACATCTTCATCTTCCTCGGCGTCGTCTCCTTCATCCGCCACCGTGTCCCGGAAGCTCTGCTCTAGGGCAGGAAGGTAATGATTGACCTTCCACATGTTCCCGATCGTCAGGTTGGCCTGGTCGAACGCAAGGGCAACGATTGGTTCTTTTGCCCTGCGATCGTCGCGACCTGGGCTCTGGGCTTTGCGCATGCGTGAGGGTGGCATCTTGGGATAGCGAGCAGAGAAGTGTGTGAGCAGAATATGCTCTGCGTTCATTCTAAGATCGAAGATAAGTTAAATGAATGATCGTCAGTTGAGGAAACAAGGACGCACCGTTTGCCGATACTGATGGCCTGCCCAAAAGTGCTGTGCGCTTTTTGCGTTGCCAGCTGGGCTTGGTTGTCGGCCATGGTTGCTTCGTGGATTAGCAATGTAGCATCCTGCCCTGCATTAACCAAAGCATTGGTAGGCTGTGTATCTCCAGAGAACCTAAGAGGGAGGAGGGTTTCAGTCACAAGAAACTATACTATGCCAAGTACGCACACAATACTCCAGCCGTCGGTGTGCTTAATGACAGCGCCGTAGCAGCGTGTGCGGTGGAGAACATCAACACTATTGAAGGCTTCAAGACCAAGATCGCGACGTAGACTGATCGCTTTCTTTTGCGATCTGCAGGGAACATTTAGCACCAGTGGTGTTATCATTGTAAAACCATTTACTCCTCATAATCAGTCCATGGCTCGGTGCCGCCAATTTGCCACATCCCATAGCTTTGGTACCCGCCCATGTTCTTCCAATGTAGTGCTTCGCACATTATGGGCACGACGCCATTGCCTGAAGGGTCGTCTAGCCCGAGATCTTGTACTTCTGAGAGCTCGCGGATATAGAGGTGGACTGAGCGAATGGTGACAAGGTATAGTGGTGTGGAAGGCGGTGGGTCTAGCTGCAGGCAAATTGTTAGGACGAGTGCTGTGAATCGGATAGATCAAACATACCAGACGTCGCTTTGCGAGGATCTTTGCCAGACCCATGTGGTGGTCACCATGAATATGGCTCACATAGATGCACTTCAGATCACGGAGCATATCCCAGACATTGTTGGGGGTGTCAATGTCGAGCCCAAACTGGCGCACAAGCTGACCCCAAGTGCCTTCGCCTGCGTCTAGCATAATGTTGCCCCAGTTGGGTATTTGCACCAAAGTTGAGGAGACTAGAAGTTAGTCTAGATGAGCATGAATAGTTTACACAAGTCATATCGGGGACACATACCATTGCGATATTTAGATGGAACGGCACTGCCGGTGCCAAGAGGAATAACCTTCACGTCTGCACCCCGAGGTACGCTCAGATCGCCATTAGCAATGTATGCATCGATATTTTTCTTCGCCTCCACAAATTTTTCCGCAGTTTGCGGCGGAAGGCTTACCGGTTTATCAGAGGAGGCAACAGCGTGGAATGAGTCCTGCGTCTCCCTTAGGGTTGGGGGAATACCGGGGGTACGCATATTAATTTCTTGACCGGAAATTAGCAAGCAAGATTTCGTTGGTAAATTAGGGATAGCTAATTGATACAAAGTCAATGGAAAGATAAGTAGAAAGATAAACATTCACGCACATGCAAGAGTTTTCTTCGGAACAAGAGAGAATTTCGGTAGAGGGAAGATCTCAGGATCAAGTTGATTCATGCGGAGTGTGTTAAATGCTGCGCTAGTGAATGTTACGGGGTCGGGTGAGTATTCGGGAGAGGCAATTATATGCTGGCAACAGAGTTTTAGCCACTGAAATATGGAGGGTACAAAGTTTTTCTCACATGCACAGCAGGCGCAAAACCATTCATAAAAGCAATATATCTTTCATCTTCTAATACACCTTTACCACACATGTGGAAAACAGAATGAACGGAATGCTCAGCAATGTCCTCAGGACGATTTGAACGGAATTTAGCATAAAAGGGGGAGTCTTCGAATGAGGACAATAAAGCAGGGATATGCGTTGTGGTTGGTATATCAAGAATGAGGAGAGCCTAAGTTGTTTAGTAAGTAAAACCACATTCTGCTGAAGAATGGTGATAAAGACTTACGCCAGGTGCCTCACTCTCAGCAATACAGTCTTCTGGTCGCACCGTTCTCTCCACCATCTCCCCGTCAACCTTGACTTGAAAAGTGATAGTGTTCCCTTTTGTTAACTGCCCACGCAAAGGACCAGGTGGAACCCCAAGGTTTTTTGCAGCCTCGGCATCGAATTTGCCTCTGAAGCGAGGACCTACTACAATGTAAGCCAATGTCGGAATTGTAGACGATTCCAGGGGGGCAGCAGGGTTATGGCGATCAAACTTGGGGAGCTGTTTGTGGAAACCGGTAGGAAGTCGAGCACGTCGGTATGGATCAACCTAATAAAATTGATCAGTGACACAGGTCTTCAGCTTTCCCTAATAACTTACATTAGTCGAGTCTGCGTTTATAACTATTGGCGCATTTTGCGAGGCCGTGTCGTTTACCAGAGTCGTTTCTGTTTGTCTCTTTGTGAGTACCAGGGTTCAACCGATGAGGTAAATGAGGATCTTTACCGTCTGAGTCTCGATTATCCTTCCCCTTTCCCTTGCGCTTTTCCCGGCGCTGCTGATTTGGATCATCTCGATCACGAGGTATCCGCTCCGGCTTTGCATTGGTGCCAGGGAACATAGTTTTAATCATCAGCCGCCTCCACTCCTGAGCCGTGTCACCCTCTAAAGAGGTGGGAGAAAATTCAGGGGACTGTCTCATTTGTGATAGAGGTTGAGAAGAATTGTCCAACGCTGCTCTTTTCTCTGGAACGTCAGGTGTCGGGTCGCGTTTTCGTTTTTGGCCGACTTCTGAGTTATCTTCGACTTCAACTGATGTTTCGCAAGTCATAGTAGTAGATTCCGCTGCAACAGATGGGGCGATAGGTATGCCATAGACAGTAATATTCGCGTCCTTGAACAAGGGCTCAGGCGCGGCCGATGTGGATGGCGTCCAAGTAGATTCAATTGGGTTAATATGAAGCGAATCCCTTTTTTTTTTTACCTGTTTAGACTGATCTCCAGAGGCCAAAACTTGATTTAAATAATACCTATAAGTATAAAGTCGCATTGCAGACATGTAATGCAGCAAACCAGGAGGCCCGACGATATCTAAGCGAGGAATCGTGGCATCCGCAAAGGACATAAGCAATCCTATGAATCAAAACATCATAAGAGGCTTTTCCTTGAATTGCATCATGATTTGAACGTACCAGGAAGGCCGGTACCCCTCTGGGTCCCAACGCCAGTAAGAAAGAGCCCACGCGTCCGTTTCCAGTTCCCCCGGCTCTGTAAAAATGCCCTGTTCGTGTTTTCCCCCACATTGAAGATGTACTTTGCTGAGTCGAAGGTGACGATCACAGTTGGCTCCGTGTCTGACGATAGGGAAGTTAAAACCGAGGTAGACCAGTGCATGACGTGTGGCTTGGCTGGTTCGCCCTGTGCCGAGGAGAACCGGCGGGCAAACGCCTCTGTACAGAGTTTATGGGACCTTGTAAGCGCAGAAAATATCCCCAGTTTGAGCAAACCGATGGTGTTAGAGCCCAAGATGAACTCTGGGTGAACTTCAAATTTGCGCGTCTCGCGAAACCGCCAGCTTGGGGTTGTTATTTTCGGTTTCTGTCGGAATTCGGATGCTCTGATCGCTTGCAATGACATGACGCGCATTAGTCAAACTCACCACTACTTGTGCAAGTGCAAGTCATTCTCGTCCTCCCTATACGACCATCTACTACTACTAGGGTGGCTACGCTAGCCATGCCTTCCTATATCCGGAACCTCCAACTAATCTCTTTTCTTTTCCTCATCCTATTCCAAACTGCTCGCGCCCATCCGCACCACGATGAGTTATCAGAGGAGCAACAGAAAGCGCCTGTCGATGCTATCCTCTGGCTTCACATATTCATTCAAGTCGCTGTCTGGGGCATCTTGTTTCCAATAGGGATGGTACTGGGAATCACACGCAGTAGATGGCACGTTCCACTCCAGGTACGCTCGTTCGATAGTTGAACTTGCCTGAACTCATACAGTCCAAATACTAGAGTACCGGCTTCGCCCTGACAATAGCGGGATACATCCTAGGGCACTCACATAAAGGGCGGATGTTCCTCCCCTCCGTTCACGGCACTTTCGCTTCGGTGCTATTCGTTCCCATCGCAGCACAGCTTGTGCTCGGTATCTATCTAAAACTACACATCCACGAGGAGACTATCAGGCCATATGCAGTAAAAGCTCACGGTGTTCTTGGAAAGGCGTACCCCATCCTAGGCTGGACGCAAATGCTCTTCGGTGCCCTGACGTATGGTGGCTACTGTCGTGGTGATGCTCTTGGTAGGTTGGCGGAACTATGTTGATATTTGAACCTTGGTCTTACTGCGCGGTGTAGGTCAATGTCTTGCGCATTATATCATGGGAAGTGGTTTCATCGCGTACGCTGTGATCATGGCAATCATTCTCCTCGTGGGTGAGGCATGGGTGAGGCGCAGCGGACGTAGTCCTGAATGGTGGGATTCTTGGTGAGCAGTTCTCCTATTTGATAGACTGTTTCATTCAACATCCATCCCTACGATCCAGGGTTATCATGCTCTGGGTAAGCGCTACGCCCATGTTTGCACCGCAGCATATTCATTGATAATTCAAAACCTCCTGCAATAGGGTATCGGTGAGTGTTGGATTTTTACCTTGATTCGCGTTAGCGCCGGCTGATTT